TCACTGCAATATGTTTGATCATCCACCGCGCTGCGTGGCACCTTATCTCAACCAGTGGTCACTTCAGAGAGCTCACAGCAGTTTGGCGAAGTAACAAATTTTCGGTTTTTATGCATTTTTTGCTGTAACAGCTAAACCAAATACGTATTTTCGTGCCCCCTCTCTGTGTATCAATTTAATGCTTTATGCAGATATAAGATGGAACGACGAAGTGTTGCAAACATGGAGCTTTTCCCGGGCCATCCGATCAGAATGATCGCAGATGTGGATGACATTGCACGACTGTATCCAGTGATCGCAAACGCAGATATAATCGGAATTGATACGGAATGGAAGCCACTTTTTATGAGCACAACTGAACAGGTGAAAAAGAGGCTTTGTTTTAGGCTTTTTAGGCTTCAACAAAAATTCAGGCTTAGCAGAGGTCCAGTTTAGCAGTTTGGAAGCTTACTCAAATGTAAAATATCAAATAAAATCATGATCGCCTGGCCGATCAGTATGGGTATCCCATGTTAGTGAGGTTGCTGGATGCTTCCACATGTTATGCAAGCATACCTCCTATTACTATTGATTGTTTTCTTTATGTTTTCGCGCCATCTCGTCAGAAGCCGCTTGAATTTTTGTTGAATTTGTGGATTAAAAACTGTGTTAGAAAGCATCGAATAAGCGATGGGTGATAACTGGAAGTCCCAGGTGGAAAGGCTTGATAACCAGGCTGTACTGGATGTATAAGAGCAGTTGTGGCGAAGTATTGACACCACATATATAGAGGTTATATGTGCTCTAGGAAGTTTGTGAGGTCCTAGGGCCGATAGTTTAATGGACAGCTCGTCATATTCGATTGTGAGGGGATTAACTCGATTCCTTCTTGCACCGAGGGTTTTTTTTTGAGGATTATCATGTTTCAACAATCATTGAAAAGTATGCAGGGCCTCCTATTACTGTTGATTGTTTGCTTCATTTTTTCGCGCCATCTCGTCAGAAGCCGCTTGAATTTTTGTTGAATTTGTGGATTAAAAACTGAGTTAGAAGGCATCAAATAAGCGACGGGTGATGACTGGGAATCCCAGGTG